TTACTCCAGCCAGTCAACATTTCTCTCAGTTGCCTCTGGGCACCCACAAACTGCGTACCGTTGTCGCTCTGTATCTCTTTTGGATGTCCCCTCATGGCAAAGAACCGTCTCAATACCTGCAGGAATTCCATAGTTGAACAATCAACTGCTACTTCCAAGTGAACAGCTCTTGTGTTGAGGCAAGTGAAGATGACTCCATAGTGTTTGGTAGTTTTATTTCGTCCAACCTTTACCACATATGGCCCAAAATAATCGCAGGCAGTGAAATAGAATGGCGGGGTAAACGGCGCCAATCTTTCCACTGGAAGATCTGCCATCCTCTGTGTCTCAGCATTGTGGTCGAAGGCTCTGCAGGTTACACATCTGAACTTCACCTTCTTCGCCAGCCTCGTAACTCCCACTATCCAGTACCTGCTTCTAACTTTAGCAGCAGTAGTGGCAACACCATAATGGCCACATTCATGCACATTCCTCGTGATTAAGTAGGATATGTGATGTTCTCTTGGCAGCAAAGCTGGATGTCTTGACTCGTAGGAGAGCAGACTGTTCCCAGCTCGTCCTCCCACATAGATGATATGTTCCTTCACAAAAGGACTTAGGGACTTGAATACACCCTTCTCCATGTCTTCATGTACATTCTTCTGGGCTTCTTTGATCCAGTATTTCTCTCCTGTGGAAAGCTCTTCTGCTGACAGCGGCCCGTCTTCCTTCAAGCATTTGGCTTTCAAATTGGTTAGAAATCTAAAAACGTATGCTGTCACACGGATCAACTTCCTCCACTTGGAGAACTTTGTACAGTCAATGGCACATTCTACTTCACTTACTAGCAGTACAGTTTTCTCTTTCCTTTTCTCTTTGTTAATTTCGTTTATCTCAGCTTTGGGAATGCATTTTGGCCATTCTTCTTCTGGCAACCGGAGAAAGGCTGGACCATTTCTCCATTCACCTTCCAAGTCATCGATTGCAATCCCTCTGGACACTTTGTCCGCGATGTTATATTCCCCTGGTATGTGTCGCCAATCTGACGGGTCGGTCTGGCTCTGTACTTCTGATACTCTGTTTGCAACAAAAGACTTAAACTGCCTGGACTGGCCTCTAATCCAGGACAAGGCAATTATACTGTCAGACAGGAATACAGCTCTGTCGGGTTTCACTGACATCTCTTCCATCACAGTAGCATATAGTCTGGCTGCGAGGACAGCGGACTGCAACTCCAACCGAGGAATAGAGATAGCTCTCAGTGGGGCCACACGTGACTTTGCTGAAACAAACCTCACGTCATAATTTCCATCATCCTCTTCCCAGTATTTATTGAATTTACATGGTAAAATGCTTTCTAAATCGTGCTTGTAACACACTTTTCAAATCAGTAATTCCTGCTCAGAGCTCAGATAGCCTCAGAATGCATCTCAGAGAATCTATTTTCAAAATTTTCCCCTTTCCGAACACTTTTAATCAATGTTTTGAACACCCTAGCGAAACTTACGCAAATTCCTTCCCGTTTGCGTAAGTTTCGCTAGGGTGTTCAAAACATTGGATTAAAAGTAAAAGAGTGTGAAGTTATAGACTTAAAAATGCGTATTGGTGATAGGTAAGTCCGTAAGACATTATTCTTCAATATTACGTGCTTGGTCGTGCGAAAATCGGCCGTATGTTAGTCTAGCCCTAGCGTGAAATTCTCGCGGCCGCAGCGAAGTACAATGTCGTATAGCCGTGTCTATGACACACCAGTCTAAAACCAGAGCCAGTTTATACCGGTTTTATCTGCTAAAACCAATCGAGCATGTCGATGTTTATTAAATATCTCACTGGGGTCGCATACCCACTAATAAGCGAAAGCTAGACACGCAAAGCAGGCTAATAAATATCGATGAAACTAACAGAGCACGCAAGGTGTCAGCGTCGTGGTACACTGAATTTCCCATGCGATGAGTTGTTGTTGCTCGCCAAAGTCATGAAAGTGTACACTGTGAAGTGACTGTCGCCCACAATTATTACTCCCCACTAAAACAATAGCAAACCAGAAGAATCCGGACAAGTACATGAGAAGTGGCAACGGCCGGCGTTTCTGACTGGTTCCCAAGAACATAACACATGACAGTATTCGCGTCAGCTCACAGGTCAGTCATTTGGACACAACACATGCACATGGAAGCGTCGCGTGGACGCCAAAGCCTCCAAAACCAGTGGCAGTCACTAGCGGAGCAAGCGATCCAGTCACATTAACAAGAAAAACCTTGAGCGATTAGATAAAACTCTTCCGAAAATGCTCATGCACTCACGCAATGAAATCAAAGCCAATCAAGCGACTTTGCAATGGCTGCTGTCAGTTAGATACGATAAGGACAAGGGGTTGTAGCAGTCGGTTCAAGCTATCCTTCCAGCCCTGTTAAGACATCTTCTATGTTGACGATATCTGAGGTAACGAGAAATGCAATAAAAGGATGTTTCAAGAACGCAAACCACTACTATCACATGAAGCGCATGGTTTCCAACCGACATTTCCCGGTTGAGTTGAAAACGAAATTGTTTATCTGCCAGAATAGTGATATGGGTCATTTGTGTGTATCATGTGACGTGCTACTCAGTAACTTTCTGTGCGGCCTAATTTGAATGTGAATCAGGAAACTGCTCACAGGCATTTACATGCAATTTATGCAAGGCGTTGAACTTCGAGGGGTTGAGTAAGAGAAGACATCTAAAAGGTCGTAGCTGTTCGGTTGGTGATTGCGTTGCCAGTGTTCAAATTACTGGTGGGAATTTAACATGGCGTAATCTCCATCTTGTCGAAGAAATGTTTCTGATCTATCATAATGCATTAGGTGCATGTACGCATTCGCGTGGCGAACTCTGCATTTCAAGGACGC